GATCATCCTGGACTAAATTAGTAAACTATTGCATGGAAGAAATCAGACATAAGACTAAGTGGAATTGATAGGCCTTGGTGAGTGATTTGGATCTAGTCACTTTTGATTGACAGATGATGGTAAGGTGTTTCCAAAAATACTCCTCTTTTGAGGTAGGATATATATCTATATATTTATATCTACAGATATATCTCTGTATATGTATATAGAGACAGTGAAGAACACAGACCCCCAATAGCAGGTCACAGCAGGCCATCATGAGCAGTGTTAACGTTTAGATCTGGAAAGCCCCCCTAATGCTCACCATTCAAAGCCTGATCCTCCATGGAGCAAGATTCATAGGTGGGACTTTTTGAAAAGCAGTGGTTAGAGTTCTCTGACCTCATCAGTGGATTAATCCATTGGTAGCTGAATGCATTACTGGAGGTGGGACCTAGTTGGAGGGGAACAGGTCATGGCAGGCTGCTGGTGGCTCTGGTAGGATTTATCTTCTTGTTTGCTCTTCTTCCTGTCCTCTGCTTCCAGGCTGCCATGAGCTAAGATGCTTTCCTACATCAGGCCCTTCTACCTCACTTCAGGCCCAGAGTTAGGGAGCCAGCTGAGCATGAACTGAATCCTTTGGAACTGAACCAAAATAAATCTTTCCTCCTCTAAGTTGTCAGGTGTTTTCGTCACAGTGACAAAAAGCTGACTAACAAGACATGGAAAGTGGGTGGGAAGGAATTACTTCTTAAGCCCCAGGAAATACATTTCCTTAGACAGCCTATCCATTAGAAAAATCATATTTAGGCAGGCAGGATGAAGCTAAGTTTGGGGAGCAAAGGTGAGCCAGGGACAAAAGTTTATAAATGGAGTTGAAATTATGTGGTGTCTCAGTTATAGACTTGATCAACAAGAGAGCAGAAGATTTGATCTGGTGCAGAGAATGAGCATATAGTTAATGTGCTCCACCAGGTGAACATTATTTTAAAATTAGCCACTATGAATCGCACTCTGCTAAATCCTGGTGATAATGTAAAATATGCTAAAGTACTAGGAGTTAACCTGCAGTGGATGGAATGGGATGAGGGGATACACATAGAAACATATTTATAATACAGTATTGTAAATTTAACCAGGGAGATCTACAGAGCATGCCATAGGAGTTTATATTATGAATTGTGCATTCAATCTATATATGCATTCCTTTGCATAAACTTATTAGTGTGGAAAATGGTACATTTTCACACAAAAAACAGCGAAAATACTTGACACTATATATATATATATATATTTAATTTTATATTGTCTTTCATTTCTATGTGGAGACTGAAACTACCATAGTGCTCCTCTCAACTTGACTAAACTTTACATAGACCCTAACTAAGTTCCTGACCTCTCTTAGAGCATTTACTTCAGAAAACTTACAATTGTAAATTCTTTCTCTGCCCCTACGAGATTCAAATCTTTAAAAAGCCTATTGCCATATTTTTCAGTACAGGGATATTTTCTTCAGAGCCTGGGAGTCATCTTTTGAATACAGTCATCAAAGAGGACTGCATCCTTATTTCCCAGTCCGCCCTTGTGGGGGCCTTATTCCAAGTGATGAAAATAATTCCTGTCCTGAAGAGAAAAGTTTAGCTTTTCTTTGCTTAAGCTCATGGGCTAACTCAGCTGGCCTACGTTCCCACCCAGCTCTTGAGCCCTTTGTCTCAGGGGAGCTAAGTATTCCTTTTGGCTACACACTCCCTCCCTATCACCTGCAGCTTCTACCAGAACAGCACTGGCTTGTTTGCTCATCTTGTCCAGTGCATTTCTTTCAAAGTTTCTTTCAGTATTTCCTACAGGTCACCATATTTGACTTGTTTGGCTTTTAGGTACTATTCCATATGTTCCTCCCTCTCTTTCATTAATGAATCAAACCCTCCTCTGTACTGCAAAGGATCTGACTTTCCATGCTGATTCCATCTCCTTTCTCTTTCTCAGGGACTTTGCATTTTCCATTATCTATACTCTCTCCTATGGCACTTATGCCACCGTATGTACTAGAACATTTCAAATACCCTGTAAATGTACTTTAGTGTTCTCTGTTTCTAAATTAAACTGATTCCCATTATTCTCTTTTTTCTTGGTGACCCTTCACAGAACAAATATTTCAAGAGTTTTCTACCCCTTCGCTCCTCCTGTTCACTCCTCAACCCAGTTATACCTAGCTCTGCCATCACCTGTCCAGTGTAACTGCTGTTGTCAAGATCTTTCACAATTATGCCAAATCCAACAGAAACTTCTCCATACCTTTGGATAGTTGGCCAAATTTTCTATCCAATACTAAATTCTTCTCCAGTTTAAATTGTACTTTGGCAATCCATTTATTTTCATTGCTTCTTCATGGATTGTCAATTAAAATAGAATATATTCATGATATATAAATATATTTATGGTATATAACATGATGTTTTAATCTGTGGCTTAACATATCATTCTATATTTATAGTCTAATACTTTCTTTTGCATTAAATATCTATACATCCTCTGATTAATCACATAGTTCTACTTGGGTGTCTTAGGAATATTGTAAACACAATACATCTAGAATTAGACTTTTTTATTTCTACCTGCAATAGAGACATTATTCTCTCAAGTCTATTTATTTCAAGAATGACAAGACCATTTCCAGAATTTCTTAGGCTAAAAAATTGGAATTCAGGGTCAATTATTTTATAACATCCTCACACTCATTCCCTAATTCAATCCACAATGCTTATTTCCAAATACATTTTAAAATTCTCTACTTCTCATCATTTTAATTTCTGCATTCTAGTGTAAGCCATCATTTCTGACACATTTTCCCTCTTGTCACCTCCTAAAAAATTCAGTCAGTTTTCACATCAGGTATTACACTGATATTTTTATAACATAAATTTGATCCTTTTATTTTTCTGCATTAAAACCTTGGAATGTCTATTGCAGTTAGAACAAATTCTATACTCCTATTCAGGTCTAAAAAACATACCTAGGCCCCCACAACACAATAAAAAATTATTTCTCCATTCTTATTTCTTATTTTCCCTATTTATCCTGATCACTGTGTGTCAGCCCCACTCTTTTTTGTTTGTTTGTTTCTAAGAGCAAAACTTACACATTCTCACACTTTTCTTCATAAAGTCATTAGAATTTGAATATGCTTAAGTGGTTGTCTCTATCAGTTGTACATAAACTATTTATCCCCATAGAAAATTATTAATTTTTAATATCATGTTATTGTTATAGAGAATACTAATTTCTTTTCAGTTTATTTGTTTGTTTTCCATCTCCCTTTCCAAACTGAATTATCGTGAGATTTGGGACTGTGTATGCTTGTTAAATTTTGTGCCTCCCCACACTTCCTGTACTGCCCAACATACTGGAGTTGCTCAAAATGTTTGTTCACTGTTGCAGACTTCTCTGAGCAGCACATTTCTAGCCCTGTGTACGTTCATGATGCAAGTATGTGTGTCATACAGATGAGCTATTACAAGGATACAAACCTTCATTCAGAATATTCTTGCTAGACTTTGATAGTTTTAATGAGAAGTTACTGAAAGGCAAGCGATGCCCTTTTCTAAAGTGACTTTGGCTTTTAGTGCTCTTTAAAAATTGTGTCTAAGTTCTATTAAGAATGTCTTTTATAAATTCCCTGACTAAATATAACTGGACATGATAATAGACTGAATTTGGCTGCTGTTCTATAATAATAAGGTTTTAACTATATATTTGAGATTATCTGGGCTCTGCATTTATAGCCTTAGCTCTTCTGTGCTGCTCTGTGGCCCTGTTCCAGAGTGTAAGCAATAAGAGACCAGAATTGTAGCTTCCCCAAGAAGAAACACAGAACTTGAAATCCACTGAGTCAGCAATCTTGGACACTGTTCCCCTGACAAAAGCAGATGCTTGGGAACACAAATTGGTTTTCAGAGTAGATTTATTGTAATGTAAAACACATATACAAGTGTATTTATAAACACTTAGACATTTGAGTAAACATAAACCCACAAAATAGCCTAGTTATTCTGCAACCGTATTTTGTTATGTACGTAACATTTTTCTACTTCTGTTATGGGTAACCTAAATTCATAAGAACTATTAACTTTTTAGGCTGAGTATTTCTTTTATCTTGCATGTGGCTGAATGAAGTAGTTTTATATAGATGTTCACAGAAATGATTTTGTGTGAGCACAATTAAACAACTCATTAGGTTAAAATCAGTATATTATTTTGACTTGAAATTTTATCCTGATTTTTTGTTGTATGGCATGATGAGCACAGATGAGCTGAAGGTCAGGATGTTGTCTGCAGCTTGTTTTACTTTTGCTTCATAAAATAAGTGTTGCTCCTAAGTTATTATTTTTTTTAATATTCACATTATCTGAAATTTATCCTACAAACTCAGAATAAATAAATGTATGATTTTGCTCACAACTTTCTCTAGACTTCAGAAAGGAGAAGCTAGTTGATTTTTTTGAAATTATAGTTGGGGCTTGAGTCTAGGGGTCTTGGTATTATGTGATTAGACCAGCTGCTGGCATCTGATCATTGGTCTGTATCCTGGACCTGTGGGCTACTTGGGCAATTTCCACTTATTGGTCTTGTTTATTTCCTTTGATCTTGAGCTTATAGCCATTTGGAACTCCAAATTCTTGATAAGGAAGAGGAGGAGGGGATCACCTGCCTGGGTCCACTTATCCCTGCCTATTTACCCAATAATTCCCCTTATCTCATTACTAGGTTTCAAAATTTTGAAATCTGTGACTTTGTTTGGAGTTAGATTTGCATGAACTTTAACAGAATGTATGAGACTATTTTAACAGGAAGTTTCTTTCTCTAGAATTGATGAAATCATTACTAAATAAATATCAGGCATGAACTGAAAGGGACCAGTGGTGGGTTGGAAAGAGATTATGATGTGGGAGTTAAATTTTATTGTGTAGAACTGACAAAAAAAAAAAATGGTGGTTCAGGAATCACCCTCCTTTTTGTTTCAGTGTTCATCCCTCCTCCCTCATCCAGGCAGCTCTGTGTATCTGGTGAAATTGCCTCTGGACCATCAGAGTGGGCTTGATTGGTTTGAAGGTAAGCACATTCTTACATCCATGACCAATACCTGGCTAGGGAAACCTGGAGAAATGGACGGGACCTGCCATTCCCTGAGGATGCCTGATGCAGTTTGGGTCAAGTGGATGCAAGAAAAACAACTGAGAGAGTCTGCTGAGGAAGGATATTCTTTATCTTGAAAGAATTACCAGAAGAGAGTATATTCCCTTTCCTTGTGCTGTGCACACTGTAGACAGGCTTGAGGCCTGGATGTGAGCAGGATGAGAATGAGGCTGGCCAGCACCAGAGCTGGGACTCAGGCAGTTCTCTGTCTGCACACATGGTGAGTGGAGCTAGTTCCTTATCCATCATGCTGTTTTCAATCAGATTTTACCGATGCTTTAGAAAATCATGAATTTCCTGTGAAATGTGTGGACGTTTTCTTTTTTTTATTATTGATATTTACTTCCTCTTAAAAAATTTTAGAGTATAGTAGTTGATATTTTTATTTAAAAATCCACAAATTATTGTCATATTTTATCTAATAATTTCACTTTTTTTTCTTCATACAATATCACTTTTCGAGATCTGTTTTCACAGTATTATGGTACTTTGGGTATTGATATCATGGGACAAATAAACTTTTTATTTTTTAAAGGCAATTATAGTGTTTATACTTAATTATATGTGTTTCTTTTTCCATTTTATGAACAATGATGACCATTAAGTTGAAATTGGGACCCAGGGAATGATATGTTCACAGCATATTGAAGTAATTAGAGATTTCCCTCTATAATACAATGTAATATCATCTGCACCTGAAGGTTCTCAGAAAATATAAACTGTTCACTGACATTCTTCAGAGAAATAGCAAAAGCAGTCATGAAATTCATTTGGAAAAATAAGAGGACCAGAATAGCTAAAGTAATCCTTAATGAGAGAAATGAAGCAGGAGGAAGACATCACAACCAGATCTGAAATTACACTACAGAACTATAGTAACAAAAACAGCATGTTATTGGCACCAAAACAAACATGAGGACCAATTGAACAGAATAGAAGTCACAGAGACAAACACAAATAAATAGTTATCTCATATTAGACAAAGTTGCCATAAACATATGTCTTCAACAATTGGTGCTGGGAAAACTAGAAACCCATATGTAATAGATTGAAATTGAACTTCTATCTTTCACCCTGCATAAAACTCAACTCAAAGTAAATCAAGGACCTAGACATTATACCAGACCCTGCACCTACTAGAAGAAAATGTAGGCCCAACTCTCCATCATGTTGGATTAGGAACCAACTTCCTCAATAAGGCTCCTAAAGTGCAAGAAGGAAAATCAAGAATCAACAAATAGGATGAATCAAACCAAAAAGCTTATTCACAGCAAAGTAAATAACCAAGAACATGAAGAGAGAGCCTACAAAATTGGAGAAAATCTTTGTCACCTTCTCCTCAGATAGAGCATTAATCCTCTAGATATATAAAGAACTCAAAAACTTAACACCAAAAAAAAAAAAGAAACCAAAATAACCCAATCAATAAATGGGGAAAGGATCTGAATAGGCACTTCACAGAAAAAGAAATACAAGCAGTCAATAAATATATGAAAAAAAATGTTCAACATTTCTAGCAATTACAGAAATGAAAAATAAAACTACACTGAGATTCCATTTCACTCCAGTCAGAATAGCAATTATCAAGAGTACAAGTAACAATAAATATTGGCAAGAATTCGAAGAAAAGGAATACTCATACATGGCTGGTGGGAATGCAAATTGGAGTGACCACTCTGGAAAGCAGGATGGAGATTCCTCAGAAACCATGGAATGGAACCATCATTTGACCCAGTTATCCCACTTATTGCTATACACACAAAGTACTTTAAAGCAGCATACTACAGTGATGCAGCCACATCAATATTTATAGCAGCTCAATTCACAATAGTTAAGCTATGGACCCAAACTATGTACCCTTCAACAGATGAATGGATAAAGAAAATGTGTTTTCCTATTCATATATATATATTGATATATATATATGAATAGTATATATATATGAATAGTATATATATATGAATAGTATATATATATATATATTTATGAATAGGAAAGACAGTAGAATGAATCAAACACAACTTTCCTATGTCCATATATAAATACATAACCAAGATAACTCCACATCATGTTCACCCACAAGAATGGGATCCTAGCCAGGAGTGGTGATACATGTCTGTATCCCAGCCACTTGGGAGGCTGAGGTAGGAGGATCAGGCGTTCAAAGCCAGCCTCAGCAAAAGTGAAGTGTTAAGCAACTCAGGGAGACACTGTCTCTAAATAAAATACAAAATAGGGCTGGGAATGTGGCTCAGTGGTTGATTACCCCTGATTTCAATTCCTGGTATCCCCCCTACAAAAGAACAGGATCCTAATTAGAATGTTATACTCTATGTACTTATCATATATGAAAATACATTCTACTGTCATGTACACAAATAATTAAATGGTCCAAAACAAACAAACAAAAACCTGTTCACTGCAAGTTTAGGTTGCACACAAGTTGAGAACTGGTTGAAGGTAGGAAAGAATTTTAAATTGGATGCACCTTTTAATCAGTATTATGGCTAGACATCGGCTTAAACATGGAAACCAGGATGAAAAAGAAATACTCCTGAAAGACAATATGTTCTCCTGTATGTATATGTTAAACAATGAATGAACAGAGAAACCCAAGGTACTCAGAGTTTTATGAGTGCTAATTAGGAAAATAATAAATGGGATAATGAAATAATAGATACAGCTACACAGAGAGAAAGTCTGGGAAGGATAGAAAGGCCTCTTTGAAGGGAAAAGAGCAACAGCCTGAAGTCAAGAGGCATTCTTAGCAGACATAAGGAAATAAAATAAATCACATGCTACATATAAGTTTGGCATTTTCAATGAACAACATATTTTAAAAAGTGAGAAGGTGTAAGAGAAAATTGAACCGTTAGAAAGAGTCAGTTTTTTTTATAGCTGCAACAATAAGCCATTCAAGGTAAGTGGTAGAGCAATATGATTTATATTTTTAACAAAATTACTCCGGTAGCTTTGTGGAGAGGGGCTTTGGAGAAGCTAGAAAAGTCCCAGGAGAGTCCATAAAGAGGCTTCTGTGAGAATCAAGACAGAAGACAATGATTTAGTGTTGAATGCTGCTGTTACAGAAGTACAATAATGATGGTTTGAAATTTTAGGACTTTATAAAAAGTGAACTAGAATATAAGAGAAAAGGAAGAATTAAGTTTGGGTATTAGAGGGGTAGATAACATTACATCTGCTATACATATCTTGCCCTCGTCTGAATAAAAATTACTGGCAGTATTTTTTATTGAGTTCGTGTTAAATGTATATATTGATTAGGAAGAATTGCTATCTTCATGAGGTTGTTTTTTCTTCCAAGAAGATGATCTATTTTTTAACTTTTCAAAATTACTTTTGTGCATTTCAGAAATGTTTCAAGTTATTTCCATCTATATTTATATATTTTGCTAACTTTTGTGGGGTTTTATTGGTATATAATAATTATATATAATGTTAGGATTCACTGTGACATATTCATATATGCATATAACATAATTTGGGCCATCTTATTCCCCAGTACCTCCCCCTTTCCTTCTCCACTCATTTCATCAGCTCCCTTTATCCACTTTACTGGTATGCTTTGCACTTTTTCTTTTTTTTTAATTAGTATATTACATAATTTTACATATGGGTAGGATTCATTTGGAGAATGACAGAGTCCTCTGACATGGAATTAGTATTCAGAATATATAAAGAATTAAAAAAAAACTTAACACTAACAAACAACCCAATCACTAAATGGGAAAATGAACCAAATAGCTATTTCTCCAAGGAAGAAATGCAAATGGCCAAGATATATTTAAAAATGTTCAACATTCTTAGCAAAACGTAAATCAAAACTACACTGAAGTTTTATCTCTAGTTAGAATGGCAATCACTAAAAATGCAACTAACAGCAAATTATAGCAAGGATGTTATTAGAAAGGAGCACTTACATATTGTTGATGGGACTGTAAATTAGTACAACCACTTTGGAAAGCTGCATGGAGATTCTTCAAAAGACTAGAAATGGAACTATCATGTGACACAGCTGTACCACTTCTTGGTATTTATCCAGAAGATCTAAAATCAGTATAGTGATATCTGCATTCCAACGTCAATAGTAGCACAATTCACAATAGCCGAGATATGAAACCAGCCCAGGTACCCATCAACAGATGAACAGATAAAGAAAACATTTGTACTATGGTGTTCTGAGAAACAAAGAAGAATGTAATATGTCATTTGTTGATAAATGGAGGGAACTGGAGAACCTCATGCTAAGTGAAATAAGCCAGACCCAGAAAGTCATGGGTTGAATATTTTCTCTCATATGTGGAAACTAGGCAGGAAAAAAAGGAATAAAAAGAGATCTCATAAAAATAGAAGGGACACCAGTGGAGTAGAGGAAGGGAATTAAGAGGGAGAGAGGATGAGAGGGCAAGGGGAGATAGCGGGTAATTAAATTGATCAAATTATGCTAAATTCAGCACCCAATCATGTTAAAAACTCTCTGAAGAAACCAGAGATAGAAGGAACCTAATTTAACATCATAAAGACTTAATGTGAGAAATGCAAAAACAACATTATATTGAATGGTAAAAACTGAAAGTATTTCCTGAAAAATCAGGAATGAGACAAAGGATGTCCAATCTCACTACTCCTATTTAGTGCAGTACTTGAAATTTTAGCCAGAGCATTTAGGGATGAGAAGGAAATTAAAGGGATACAAATGGGAAAAGCGAAGTCAAGTTGTCTCTGAAGATGATATAATCCTATACTTACAAGACCTAAAAAGTTCCACCAAAAGACTGCTAGCTAATAAATTCAACAAAGTAGCAGGATACAAAATCAACATACAAAAAAATTCATTGCTTTCTCATACCTCACTAATGAATACACTGAAAAAAATAAGGAAAACAGTCCCATTTATA